AGAAAGGGTCACGGTCGAGTGAACCATTGGTCCAGTCGTTTCTTTGTTGGACCTACGTGAGGCTGACTCACTTCCGGTCGAAGGTGATGACGAGGAGTCGAGTGAAAAACACCGGCCAACAACAAGACATTCGAGGTGACACAATGCCATTGCGATGCATTTTTTGAAATATTACTTTGAGATTTGGCATCATCAGTCGCCAAGGTCTTGATCCCGTACAACCTTAGTGTCCACATTTACTTGTTGCATACTTAGTACTCATGATTTGGAAGTAGTATTCCACTTTCAAATCCAGTTTCTCACTAAAAAATGTGAGGTAAGGAGAAAATGTCCCGTTCAAAATAGGCCTATTTCTTGACCAAATGTTCGACTGTGTGCCAACAAGGTTGCAAAGCCTGATTCATTCTCTTGGTTTGACCCGGCAGCCAGGACTTGGTAGCCATAACCTTTTACTTTTGCGTACAGATCTGACCTTTGGTATGCCTTGGCGAAAGGTGAAATGGACCAAATGTTTCCTGCTGACCTCTATTGGACTCCTCCACTCTTCATCAGCGGTATTGTTGTCGGCCCCGAGGATCGGGGGAGCTCTGGTGGCCAATCTCATCTGTTCCTGATTTTTTCATTTTCTCCCTAAATTGAAAAGGTGCACAAATTGCCCATTTTTTCAGCCATCTGATGGCTGTAAAGCCTGGGCTGTTGAGGAGGCTTTACCCAATTGCCATTAAAACGAGAGGAAGAAGAGGCTCTGTTCCGGCAGACGCCTGCCAATCAGACGACTTGAGTGTGTTCTCAGAGCTCGGATTTGGGAGCTGATCATCGCCTGTGCTCTGTTTGTGAATAGGCTTGGAGTGTAGCCGTAATTGTTTATATATGAATATAAGTAATACATCAAAATTATAATAGGAAAATACCAATTTAACTCATCGACAATCCCACTCTAAATGCAATATGGAAGAGACTTGTCTCACTTGAGACTATAGACTGCACGCTAGGGGGATTGACGAGATCAGTTCTAGCAAGATCGCAAATACAATAGATCCGGAATGAGAGTACAATTCTGGGAGCGAGTCTATGCGAAGTTTAGTGGAAATGTGATGCCTATTCACATACGATTGTGGGAAAATTCAACTTTCACTCCTTCATCACCTTATGCGACCAAGAACGACTGGAATTCTTATTCCAGCTTTAATGCAAGTTTTGGAACCCACTATATATATGAGTTAAAGTAATAATTTCATACCAACTTAATCACCCTAGGTCACTATAGGTGATTTACAAAGTGATTGTGGAGA